CGATGAAGAAATGTTACTGCATGGCATAGTAATTTTTCTCAGGCCTGCAGTTTAGACCTAGATTGTAAGGCAGCACAGTAATTTTTATCGGAATCACAATATAAAAATTCATAGATTTTTCTCTCCGTGTGGGACATTTCCTTTCGAAATCATTTATGCCCAAGATAAGTTGACAATACAGAAAAAATTCAAAACAATAAATTCCATTTTATTATACATTCCGTCGAAAACTATTATCAAACATATTCAACTTTCCAATCAATCGGATAGTTATTGTAATGACATCGTTGTTCTTGGTTCTCGGAGAGTGTGCAATTTTACATGAGTCACCGTATTTCGACTATCGAGAATAATGTCTTCTATGAAGCTGAATATATTTATAAGAATTTAGCAGGAGACATCAGTACCATAACTGTGTTTGGAATTTCTCCGATTTTTGGGACAATTTTTTTTACACATACATTTTTTTTACTGCTACTTTCTCCTCACTATACCGGACTATACAGTTGATTGTCAGAAGTAGATGTACGTCGCGAAAGAAAAAAAATTCATGAAGTCACGATAATATTGGAACAAGGAAGACTTGTTTCCCACAATGTTTTTCTCTCTTAGGATAAATACATCCGAATAAAAAAATGTTTTACAACAACCGTCGATATGATTCTGGTGACCTACTTTCATATATTTATGTGAGAAAAGGTGTATTGCTTTCCATCAAGATGCTGTTAATCCTTAGAAGTCTGCTTACCCAAGATAGAATGCATCTTTTTCAGAGAACAAATCAAATTTTCAAGTTTTGAGTTCTACTACTAAGGCATATGCTTATTAGGAGAAAAATATAACTACTATAGTCAATTTACTGATATTTTATGAGAATGCTTTACGCTGAACAAGTGCAATAACTGTCTATGAAATATCACTATGAATTTATTAGATTACGAGAGAGACTCTCGTGGCAATACTCTTACGGCAATATTTTCTTTACTTGAACACAACGCATGATACTCTCTATTCTAACTCAGTCCGGCTATTGTATTGCATAATCATTTGATTGCCTCAAAAAAATCGTTTTTTTCCGAAAGACATGTTCGGGTTGAGAGCCCTAAATTTTCTTTTGATGCGATAGTGAATGATCTTGAATTTCCTTCTTTATCTCAAAATTTCCAGAGTAACAGGAAACAAAATGAAAGTTTGCACTACTCGAGTAGAATTTTCATGGGGGTGAAATCGGGACCTGGTCGGGAAGACCCGCCGAGAACGTCAGATCCGCATCAGGTTAACCGGCTCGGGTCCCTAGGTAAACGTCACGCAGTTCCCCGATCAGGTGCCGATAAGGTTGTTCGGATAAGGACCCGATGAGGTTCTTTTAATTCACCCTATCGGGTTCTCATCAGGTATTAACTGGGTTTTTTAATTCGCCGGCATGTATTGCTTATCGATTTATTATCATTGCCTAATTTTAATTTATTTTAGTTAGAATAATATTTCCTGAGTACTACCGAAATAATTTTACCGCCAGTACATTTCATGTTAAATAATTATTGCATTAATAACATAACAGTAACATATATTCAACATCTGTTCGCTAAGTGACAGGGATCATAAAAAAGATATCGATATTGGCTTAGTGAATATTTATTGCATATTATTTGCACTTTATAATATTAACAAGCAGGCAATGCCTAACTTTAGAGTTGCGTAATCATTGGCTGTAAGGTATGCTATATTATTACCATTTGGTATTTAACAATCTAATTTACTAAAAATATATTATTTGGGAGAAAAAGCTTTAACAATTAAAGAAAGGTTCATTAGCAAATATATCAACTCTGTAAGAACGAAATTATATGAGGTAATGTTCTTCATGCTATTACTCGAATTGGAAAATCTCATTGAAGTGAAGATTTTATTATCAATTTTTCTGAAGAATTACGCTTTTTCAACTTATTTTCGTCAAGGCAAATTTTTCTATAAACAAACCCAAATGGGCCATCAAACTATTTTTATTCTTGTTTATTTTTGCAGTTGACCGTTTATTTTATTAAGAAAATGTATCTCAATTGTAATTTTAAAAAATACACTTCTAACGAATTAAATTAGATGAAGTTGAAAATATTCTGAGTTTGAAACATGTTATGGACTCAAAAAGAGAGAACGAAAGAAAATTTTAGATCAAGGAAAATTGGCCGTGGATTCTGCTGGAAGAATGGAAACAAAACAGTAATTCTTGGAAAGTCTTCCTCTGAATCAAACCTGACTCTTGCAAATATCCTCTTCCTCACCTTCAGGCACATGTGGCTCATTGCGGGGCTTAGGATTCGATTGGTGAAGTGTTCTTGGAGGTCTCACGCGTTTTTCTGGCCCAGACCAATCCTTCGTATTTTGAAAAATGCCTCTGAGTGCTTTTTCAAACGTCTTCTCCAGCAGTGGCTCCTGTAGGGTTCCGAAAACTTTACCATAGACATCTGGGAATAAAAAATCATGATAATACCATTTTTTAAAGGAAAATAACATTAATTTGGATGGACTTTAATATAGTTACCGCGAATATGTTTACAAAGACATGTTTTTTTAAACACTCGCTTGCCAATCGTTTCCTTCACTGCAACAAATCCTATGGCGACAGATTGAGACATGAAAATTCTAATGCAAATTCCCATGCATCGTGTTATGCCTGATTTTTTATCTGCTGTTTGTCGAATTTTCTTTCTCTGTAGAAAAACAATCATGTTATATTCCTATCTTTCTACTGAAAGTGCCGGAGCATAAAAAACTATTGAAATATGGAAAAATTTTTAGTTTCCCGATTCGTTGATTTTTAAACAATAAAAATTGTCACAAAAAAAATCGTCGTCACAAAAACGTGGTGAATATGGTCCAGGAAGAATAAATACTTTTGAACAATATTTAAAAATCCTTCACGTTCGACATGTTTGGGGCCACCATCTTGAAAATTTCTTAATTTGCAGGGAGAAGATGGCTTAAAAACATAGGTCTTAAAATCTGTTACCTACATCAGATTCTTGAAGATTAATTAACATTGTTTAGCTTCAAAGAAACTTCAAGTGATACCTCCACGATTTTGAGGTGACCGATTTTTTGTGATAATTTATTTACCTCAGAATGCAACAAACGAGAAGAACTAATAAACAAAAAAATGCTCATTTATCAGTAGTTCTTTTCATCCGCCACTTTAATATTTTCAAAATAATTCAGAAATAATTCTGATAAGATTTACCATTCTCGTTCGATACGCAGGATCACTTTCCAATTTCTCCTCAAATGAGTCGAATAGGTCTAGCCTAGAGCACGGTAAATTAATGTCATCAAGATTCACCTGCTCTTCTTCACCCTCATTTTCGATTCCCCCCTTGCACTTTGTCTCAAGACAATCAACTCCTGCAATTCTCTAATTTTTATTCCATTTCCTAGGACCTGTCCTTTTATATCAGCAATTTGCTTGGACAGATTATTGTAGCACTGAAGTACGAGATGGCGAATGGTACTGTTTTCAGTTACTGTCCTCCCTGTTGATGGCGAACTATGTCCACGTGAGTCTGTCTGCCAAGACCTTGATGATGTGCAGCGCCTGACAATCCCTAAGGGAGTTGACGGAGATACCCCTTGTAGTTGAACTGGATCTTTCGTCCCTTGGCTTACTGATTGAAAGGTCTCATTTTTATTCTTCTTCTTTTCATCTCCATCTTTTTCATTCTTATGACTACTAACGCTGGACATTGTAGAAGGAGAATGGAACAAGGTTGATTCACTGTATCTTCCTTGATCCGTGTCTTGAGAAAAATGAGATCTGATGACTGACTTTTCCTTGGAAATATTACTTTTACGAGAATTATTATCTCGTGTAGGAGTGCCCTCATGATGGAATCCCTCTTGTGAGGTTTTTTTCCTTGAGAATTTGTCACTTGTGTGAATCTTTTTATCGAAAGGAGACCTCTTAAAAAGTACACGTGTAGGAGGCTGCTTTGGTTTAGTTGGATACACCGGCACTTCGTCTTCGGAGGTTGAGTATTTGCCAGTAAACTGGTCATTTTTCGCACCAGAGTATGCAGGCTTCTGGGGAGCTGTAAAATATCAGATAAAGAAAGACATGTTGAGGAAATGAACGAATCTATGTACAGCATTAATGTAAGCCTGTGTCTGGAACTTTTTATTTCATTTGGACGCTTAGATAATATCTTAGAGGTCTTATTTACCCCGGGAAATAGGAAATAATACTAGATTTTGGTTGTTTCCCTACACAAAGTCTGTAATGACAGTTTCTGAGAGAATAATATATTAAAAATATTACTGAAATTCGTTTTTTCATTATTGTTTTTCTATCAGTTCTCAATGAGCCATCATTTGATCTACAGAAAATGAAAAGACATCACTTCTCTACTTAATTAATTAAAGTAATAATGTAGTAGATTAATATTTACAACAAAATGCCTCATTAATTTTTCTACTGAAAAATTTGAATATCAGGAAAAGCGACTTGGACATTCTCATAATTCGTGCTTTTTAGATAATGAAACCTCTAAAAAATTCATTCGAAAGCTGACGGTGAAAGATTGAAACCTGCTTGAAATAATAAAAAATTAATTTAATTTAATTGATGAGCAAAAAGATTGAATTCAAGGAAAACCAAATTTGGAAAAAAAGGATAACAACTTACATTTACTGTCACATTCTGAATCTCCAAAAGATGAATCTGCCACTTCCTCGTTGAGGTTTCGACGTGCTGCTTCTAACTTCTTTTGGAGTGAATCTTCATTTGTTGGCATTTTTTCTCTCTGATACCGCTTAACCTCTTCTTCAGTTCGTTTCTGGCAATTTATCTCATCATCAGTCGAATAAGCATATTTCTTGTGGTCCAGACGATTGATTGCTACTTCTGCCTCTTCATACGTTTTTGCTCGACCTTTTATTTCCACTCTGTATTTCGGCCATTTTGGATCAGCAAGTTCGCAGTTCTCAATCATCAGTTGTAAATTTTTTTTGTTAGCTTTTGTCAGATTAGGCATGAACCGACAGAAAAGCAGTTTCTTGGCATCATCCCACAATATCCATGAAGCAGGTACTATGTCCACACTCAGTACATCTGCTTCATCGTCAAGGAACAGCACGAGTTTATACTTGTAATCACTCATCTAAATAAAATCCGAAATCATTATTTTTTTATTGGATTCAATGAAAAAAGAATGAATCATCGGACGGACTATGTCAATGCAGGATTGTTGAGGCAATCCAGTGATTTTAGGTTATGTGTGTGCAATGGTGGTTTTTTCAGAAAATGTTGAATATGTGAGTGAGAAACAAGACCATGATAATAAACGAGACAATGATACCATTAATTCTTTATAACTTACCTTACATCAAGATGAAAATACTCACTTTAAAAAATATATATTTTCGCAAACGTAACGACTTGAACACCGGTGAACTTGTCTGGACACGCCACAATGGACAACGAAGAAGTACTGGCGTCTTGTCGCACGTGTGTGCGGTACACGATGCCATTACTGCGTCGTCCCGTTCTTCCAGTTATCGTCAGTAAAATTAAAAAATTTTTATTTAGAAGATTTTCCTTTTTATAGATATTTACAAAAAAAATTGTAATAGAATGTCAAATAACAATAATCCTTCCGTCTTTACCTTTCTTTTGCTCTCATTCACAAATAGTTCCGAGTAATCTTAGTTGTAATGTGATTTATATTTGCACTCATATTTCTAATACATACTATGACTTAATTGGATTTTTGGGATGAAAGAAATTGAAAAAAAAGACAATATTCACAAATATATTCGTTCAGTTAACATTGAAGTGAAGAAAAAAACTTATACTCTGGATATGGTAATGAAAACCAGTAGAAAAACTAGTGAGATATAAAAACAAGTAGCTTTTTTTTCAATTGTCGGCAGATGTAATAGAGTTCATAATAACTGTATTGGAAAAATATTACAAGAAACTTCTCTCATTAGAAAATATTGAATGAAAGAAAAAATCTTTGTAATTTTTCAGAAATTTTTCAGAATTGCCACATTCTTTCTTTTGATTTCGGAATAGAGTTGAATAGTTCTAGCATTTCCTTCAATTATTCAATTTTCTCATCACTCAACAAAATACAGTAATATTCTATGATAACTTTAGCATAAATTGATTTCAAGATCAAAAAAGGATTATCATGTACATGAGGAATTCAACAGGATTTTGCAACAGAACTGACCACTTCACATGTGAAGAAGCGGCATGGTGTAGATTTTTTCATCATTCATCTCGCTGATATCCAACCTAACCATTTTCTGCTCTATCTTCCCCAGGTCACATGTCATTTTTACTGAATGCTTCCTCGTTACATTCCACATTTTTAATGCAGCAGAGTCACAGGGATAGGTGAAAAGTGACCTCACAATTCGCAGTGTCGTACCACTTACTTGAATGTACCTGGTGTCTTTATCCGGTGGTATATACATCTCATTTATCTCCAAAATAGTGTCATTGGCTAGCAAGACCGTATTATCTGGAGATTTTGCCGTCAAATTTCCCCGCTATACCGTACACGTTTAATAGGTGTTCGACCTAAATGATCTGTTTTTAATTGCCTCAGTATGTGTATTTTTGATGGCACAGTAGGTCTTTTACCATGAACAAAGAAAATTTCTCCTAAACGTCTGCAGACTTGACTGAGAGGACGATTACCACTACGTAAAAGTTTCTTCATTTTTCCGAGGGCGTTTTCAAACGGAAAAGCAGTGACTATAGAAAGAGGACATTTCATATGTTTTACATCATCTGGTAAATGTAGGAGATTATGAACATTGTTTACCATGAATGATCGTCCATACAAACTAGCTGCAGTTTCCACGAATATTTTGAGGAATTCCTTCGCATGTCGCCAATACTTCGCGGCCAATTTCTGTGCGCATAAAATGTGACAAGCAGTGTGGAAGAGAAGAAAATGTTTATATGTTGCTTCTGATAAAATTTTCTTGAAAATGACAGGTCCCGCATACAATAATAGAAATCGAAACTCTACGGCTTTGAATTTATCAATATCGGACAGAGATCTGGTAGTACGTTGAAATTCAGCAGGTATTTGGCGTTGTAAATGAATCAGAAGTGTAGATAAAAGGTTTTTAGAATTGTGACTCAGTCTTATGGTAATGAGCTTCGAATGTAACCAAAATTCTTAAATTTTTTTCATTACTCCCAAACAGCACAAATGCATGAAATCGAGTAAGAAACATGAAATCATATTTATTGGAGGATCGAGGAGTAGAAGAGGCAGGGTTGCCAGATGGCGATTTTTTCCAAAAATTGTTTTTGGTTTTTCAAGAATAGGATAGATGATAGCAAGCGTCGAATTAGATATCAACTAGGCCATTTCAAAAGTGTCAATCATTCGCGTTATCGGCTGGACTTGCTTGATTGGGATTGTTTAAAATCAAAAAAACATTTTCAAAAAATTCGCCATCTGGCAACTCTGAGAAGAGGTGATGTTCCTTTATGATGGCCGTCATCATCCTTTTGGCGAAAAGATTCATCAGTTCGAGGACCAGCATCCACTTCAGTGTATATAGTACGTCCTTCTTCTCTGATTCCACGTATAGTGCATCTTTCGCATGACCAGAAACCTCCATGTCCTTTCACACATTTCAGCAGGGCGCGTGCTGGAGTGTCACACACAAACGCTTTTACGCAGACTTGATATGTTAGATGTCCAATTTGAAGTCCATTTCTATGCAAAACATTTAATTCGCAAATGAAGTCATCGAGAAATGCCTGTACGTTATCTGGTTTCTGATTTCCACAGTAAATCGCCAAAGGAAACGGCTTATATACATCTTCATCATTATGAATTTTGCACAGAATCGGCCAGAACTGCTTCGAACTAGATTTATATAACTGTAACCCATCAACATTGATTATCAAGTGAATCAATTTATCTTCGTGCAGTTTCGGAGCAATAATGTTTTTTAAATTTTCACTCAAGCCAAAGTAAACTAGTTCACTCTTCAATTGCTCATTGAACTTTTGGATTCTGTAGTTAATTTTGTTAGTTCCCAAGAATGTTTTCGCACACTTCGGAAGGTCAGGCAGTAATCGAGTTCGAAGAATAGCGATTAAAGATTCAATACGCCTATGGGGGAGAGGAGGATCCTCCAGAAGACACCAACACCGGAGATCCTCAATTTCGTTGTACTCTTGAATGTCTGAAAACTCTTCGTACTCATCTTCATCAACACTAGCTTCACGAATAAAACGCACGTCATCGTGATACTCCAAATCTGATTCTGTAGAATTGGGACGATGCGAAACTTCAGACTCGTAGTTCTCGTTTTCATTTAAATTTGGGGTTATGTTTGACGTGTCACTCAGGTATACGATATTCATCGGAGAAATTTCATCGCAATCTAACTCTTCGTCAGAGCTATTCAAATTATGAGATTGTTCTAATGTCGATACTTTAGTTGAATCATCGTCTAAAGATCTCGAAGATGATATTTCACTGACACTCTGATTTCCAGCAATTCTCAATCTTTTATTTTGGCGATATTTTTGACTCCGTAAACGAGAAAGTTCCCTTGCACAGAGATTGCGTTTACCTTTATCATCCATAATTTTATGAATACACAGGAGATGATGAAGGCACTAATTTATATCACAAAGATGAACATTTAATATGAAATCCAAAGTGTAGACACATGGGCAGACTGTACTCTATACAAAACTAATTGCAATGAAAGATTGCTTCGGTAATCTTCGTGCGAAACAGCCGAAAAAGCACGAATTGAGAATATAGGTCAAACCCCACGATAGCCCGATTGCCCCCTGATCAGGTATTCCAACGCTTAACCGCGGCAGGGTACCCTGCTCATCGTTAAACAATGACCTGATCGGGTCAAACCCGATAGGGGTTCACCTTATTGTTTCCCCGATAATGCATCTCCCGAGTAATACCTCACCGGGCTACCCCGACAATTTCCAGGTAATGTCCTCAACGGGTTATACCTGATAGGGTTTATCCCGTCCATTTCCCGATGGGGTATCGGTTTGGTAAAACCTGATCAGGGTAACCCTGCATATGCATCACTAGGGCCCGATACGGGGTCGGGTGTCCCCGGCGTAAATTCTACTCGGGAAGATTTGATTGACAGTGGTGCTCATTGTTATTGGCATATCCCGTAGTTTAAATGATCTGGAAAATTTGAAATTTATTGAGGATCTAGATGATATGTCTAGGATTTCTACACAAACATTTATTGTTTTGAGTCTTAATTTTTTTTATGAACAAAAACAAATTCATTCTGCCAATTTTTATTTTTTAATTGAATGGGAAGGTACAGAGACCTCCATTTGAGGAAATATCGTTCACCCCTTCATCCAATTGGTACTTTTTCAAATTAATGTGGATAACATTTTTTTTTTAAGAGATAAAATTCGGAAAAACCTAAAAACTAAAATTTGACCAATAGCTCACACTATAGTGGTGTGGACTCTTAAACTTTGGAGGAATATTTCTCACCCCTGTATCGAGTTTATACACTTTTTTTAATGGATTCGGATAAGAAATTTTATTGTTGTATTAATTATAAGAAAAAAATGAAAAAGAAGAGTGAAAATTCTAATTTGCGCCTTAACTCGAGCTATGGGTGTAGACCCCTTACCTTTCATAGAAGCCCAACGAAGCCAAAAAAATTGATATTGCAATTAATTTTCAAAAATGTACCGACTCGCTCGAGGGGCAAAAATTATTTGTTCAAATTTTCGGGGTCCACATCCCACCATAGCTCAAATTATGGGCCAAATGAGAATTTTCACTCTTCTTTTTCATTTTTTTCATTAAATTTCAAATTTCCCCGATCATTTCAACTACGGGGTATGCTAATAACAATGAGAACCACTGACAATCGAATCTTACGCCAGCGGATCTTCCGCTAGTTCATCATGATTGTAAGACTCGTCAGTTTGGAAAGCGTAGAGTGTAAGCGAATTCACTGAAATTCTCTCTGCGCAGGACTTCTGAATATTATACATCCGCTGTGCTCTATACTAACTTTTCATGGCCTGCTCAACCGCCTTGAAATTAGGTATTTTTGTCACTGCTACTTCGAAAAATGGCACAATTCGGCACACGCTGAAAGCAACATAAATAACAAAATATATCGTTCGGATGAACGTGCAACGGGGTGTTTTAACTCATATGATCAACTTCACACTCGTTACTATCCCGTCGGACTTGTATCGAAATATACTATTTCATCACAAGACTGACCATACTTTTCCGACGAGTGTGCAGGGTGTAGACTGAGATGAAACCAAGGAATGGAACCACATGAGTCAGAAAACTTGTTTTCGGCCGAGTGACAAATTTAATTGTTCGTCACAATGTCCGGAGACACCGTTTGACCGGCACGAGGTCTTCATGATATAAGATTTTCGAGATGGTGTGATGAAAAATCCGCTTCGCTCTAAAATATCATCGTACATCTTCTAATTTCTGTTGTTTGTACTCTAACAGTGCGCATATGAATTATTTCCTAGGTTGATGCAGTTCGTTGCAGGGAGGAGGAGACGGTGCAACCAGGTAGATCGAGCATTTATGCTAACGATCAATTTGCAGAACAGAGTGCGCTATTTGCACACATTGAACTGGAAAAAATTCGAAAAATTATTACTGACGATTTTTGGGGAAATGACGTTCTTAACTATAACCATAAAAATGGATCAATGCTCGATAAATATAGGGACAGAATTGTTAAACCTATAGTGGGAAAGTGCTTGATGATTTCTAAGGCAGGGTACGACATTAGAATATTTTACGAAACGAGTGAATCGCATGACGAATTGAAAATATTGAAAAAGATTTTTTATTACTCTTAGATGGAGCAGCCCTCATTATAAAACTATTGCTGATAACATCTGTAAAATTTTGATTAATGAGAACGGAAAACATTACTACGAGGAGCCCGTGGAGAAAGCCAAGTCCTCAGCAGGGGAACCACAGGAAGCTTCAGGCAAAGTGCCGACAAAATGTCGTAACACTTTGGGAGAACATCATCAGATGCTTGATTTAAAGGTTTCAAGGAAACGACCAAATCAGGATAATCAGCCGGCAGCTAAAAGGGTCAAAATTGATGGTAGGTTTTCTTAACAAAACATTGGTTATTTTATTTAGAATTGTTCCACTCGCCTGCACGGAAAGTTCGTATTTTGTTCCCTGATCAGCGGGAGGAAAGTGAGTACTTTCCACCCGAGGACGGTAGCGCTCACTTTCCACCCCCTCATCAGGGAGCAAAGTACGAACTTTCCGTGCAGGTGTGTTGAAAACCGAAATTTTACTTCATAGGGATTGTTTTTTTGTTTTTCAGAGGAATCTGAGGACGTTGCAGAAGCCTAGCGGTGGTTATTGGATCACCAGGGCCCTGTAGAAGATGTAATACCACGATGGAAAATCACTGCTTCTCGACGTCGAAAGTGGCTTCGTGAAAATAAAAAACCTCAAGTTGAGGAGGTTTTTAACAATTGGCCTATTTTGAAGTCCCCAATTGCTGGCGATTTAATAAAAATTGATTTTGATGACGTACATTTCACTGATATTGTACTCACAGAAGAGAGATGGGAACAAGTTTGGTCGGTCATTCACGACAGCAAACCTTTGAAAAAAACTGATGCTGTTGGCATTGATTTGGAGAAAAGAATTAGTGATCCTGTGGTAACAAAAGGTAAGTCATTCCCTTATCAATCTCCTATGTATATATATTTGAAAACAACGACAACATTTTCATCCTTATATTATTTTTATTGCAATTGTTAAGCAGCGGAATGGAGTTCATTTTTCACGCATTACTGGAAATTAGATGATCAATTCAATAATTATTATGATGCTCTTACAGATGGCCAGGTGGTCGCCCAATTGTTAACGCTTCCTCATCTCATCACCCAGAGAGGAGCAACGACAAAAAATGAAGGAGGGCAGGGGCGATCCATTCCTGAAGTGAAAGATTCATTTATTTATGTTGTTTCCGTAAGTTATGATGAATAGAACTTGAACATTGTTTGAGTCGAATTTCAATGTATCTCAGAAGATTGATGAAGAACAACTCGTAGATTGTCTAATATCTTTCCCAAGGCTTCACCAATTAAGAAATTTAAGTAATTTTTAATTATTTCTTGAATGAAAATTTTTCATCGAAAATGAATATTCTTAAATTGAAATTTGACATATTTGCAAGTTATAAAATTCATAATAAGGCATGACAATATTCATGTTTCACTCTCTGAAAATTTGTTGAGAACGTTTCGAAACGTTGAGAAATCTGGGAAAATCATGACAACTCCACCGTCAGTTTTTGGGGTCATTGGCTCCGAAAAACGTGATCTAACAAAGGGAAACGAGATTTGAATCGCAGTTTATCCGACATAATGACGAAAAATAGTTTTCCCGCGGGCAGCGGTGGAGCTTTTTCAGCATAATGGTTCAAAAAGAAGTGTTTCAAAGAGTTGCTTTTCGCATAGCGTGATGAAAAATATCCCCAGTGGAAATTTCGTATAGGGTGTCCGGGTCTAAATCAGTCATCGATCCAGTGCAGGTCAGGATTTATACCTATATATATCAACCGCATTTTTCCACCCTCACTCCCCTATTTTCAAGATGGCCGACAAGGTCAGTAAAAAATATATCTACAGGTATCTATATATTGATTCAGGGGATGATTCGGAGTCAATTAGTACCTATAAATATCGATCTAATTTTTCTACCCTACAGCGCCATTTCCAAGGTGGCCGACGGGGTGATAAATAAATGTTTCTACAGGTGTATGTAGATCGATTCAAGGGATGATTATACGGATTCGCGATGTCAGATGAGTGCATTAGAAAAAAATGACGATAGGAGGGTAAACGGAGTGCATTGGAAAAAATGGAAGTTTGAGGGTGCGATGAGTGCGTCAAGGTGTAATGGCGGTCAATGGTGGGATGAGTACATGGGAAAAATGTGGGTTAACGGCGGGATGAGTGCATGGGAAAAGATCAAGGATTGAGGCTTGCATCAGTGTGTCAGGGTCAAATGGAAGCTGATGGAAGCTGATGGTGCATGAAAAAAAAATGACGGGTTGAGGCTGGGATGAACGTGTCAGTGTAAAATCGCAGGTGTAGGCTAGGATGAGTGTGTCAGGGAGTAATGAGGGTTGAGGCTGGGATGAGTGTGTCAGGGTGAAATGGGGGGTTGAGGCTGGGATGAGTGTGTCAGGGTGAACTGGGGTTTGCTGATGGGATGAGTGTGCCAGGGTGAAAGTGGGTTCATGGTGGTATGAGTGCATGGAGAAAAATGGGGGCTTGAGGGTGGGATGAGTATGTCATGATGAAATGGAGGGTGAAGGAGGGATGAGTGCATTGGAAACAATGGGGGTTGAGGGTGGAATGAGTGTTTCATATCGTTCAGCAATTATGCTCTACCTTTGTCCCCAATTTATTTTCTGATTTTACTCTACTGCAAGGTTTTCAGCTGCTGACACCGGGAGTGAAGAGCTGGAAGGGAGGCTGTCAGTGGTTAATTTATGGTTTTCTACCTTGCACTCATCACAGGCACCCTGAACTCACTCTTTCTTTTTCCAACAAGTTGTTCCTACATGCATTCACTACGGGGAGGGATATATCAAAGATACCACGATTGTCCAGAGCTGGTTTTCGTTGTATTTTATCATGTAAATGATATAAAGATGCGAATAGAAAGCGGATGCATCCAACCGGCGTAACGGGTGTTACAAAAGAGAAAAAAAAGGGGGGTGCACGTCCGCAACAGGGGGGGAGGGTCGGCCCGGGGTTGGTTTTAGGGGAGACGTCTGCAGTCAGGACAAGACGCCACGTCTACTCCCCAGCGGCCACTGAAGTAGCAACGACGAGCCATGACTGGGCATTCCTTAGCCCAGTGGTCGCCGTTGCACCTCCTGCATCCACTGAAGAGCAGTGGGGACTGTGGGGGGATGAGGGAGGTTTGTGGGTAGCCGGGGGGTCGCCTGACTGTTTTGGGGTTGGAGCTATTGGGGGAATGGTAAGAGCTGGGTCTAAGGGATGCGGAGGGACATCAGGGCCGGGGCAGGTGAGGATCGGCGTGGGGAATGGGGTAGGACGAGGACAGGTCTTGGGGGGAGAGGGCTGCGGCGTTGGGTAGGCGAGGTCTGGATGGGAGTGGGTGTGGAACTCTGGGTGGTCATGGGTGTTGGGGGTGTGGTTGTTGGGCGTCGGGTGGAGGCTGTTGGTCGAATCTGCAGGGGAAGTAGGGCGGGGGTGCTGATGAGGTCTTTAAGGGAGCGGTTGGGAGTCTGGGGGGCCGTCTCAAAGTCGTCGTCTGAGTCGAGTGGCGATGGGGAGTTGGTCGAGGGGGTTGTCGCGTGCGGTAGGGGGGCGTCGCAGGGGTCGACCTCGTCGTCGTCTAGGAGGGGTGTCGTCAGGGGCTTGTGGGGGGGTTTCTCCTGGGGCGGTTTCTGGGGCTGGTCCTGCGGTTTTTCTTGGGGCTTCTTCGGTGGTTCCGCCTGGGCTCTCCACCTCTCCTGCTTGGTCTCGTACCTGGCCTGGGCCAGCATCTCCTCCTGTGCTCTCCAGGCCGCTGAGGGGTATGATGGTGGTGGAGCTTCCTCGCCTAGGGGGAGTGAGTATATCCCCCTTCCATAGGGGACTCTTCCACTGGTCGACATCTGAAAAGGGTCGAAGGTGGTAGGGTCCCAGGTCGGTAATATGTATCTGGTGTATCCTATTGCCTCGGGGGTCTTCGAGGTCATATAGGCTAGGAGAAATTATGTTAACAATTTGATAGGGGCCGTCGTATTTTGGGGCTAATTTTGCGGCGAAATGCTGGGCTGCTTGTGATAGGGGTCGGTGCCTTCTCAATACTAATTGACCCACCCGAAAAATTTCATCGTATCGGCCTTCGTCATAATGTCCGGCTTGTTTCGCGAAAGGTTCGCCCATGTATTTTCTAGCAAGCGGCGACAGTAGCCACGCGGGTGGTGTGTGACTCCGGCGATCACCCAAGCTAAGCAACGCTCAGTTGGGTTAGTACTTGGATGGGTGCCCGCTTAGTCACACCCATCGGCGTGTAGACTGCCGCCGTCAGGCACGGGTGCGGAGAGCTGGTGTGTTCACCGAGTCAGTGTGACTGATGAACACAACAGAATCCCCGCAGTACCGGCCGGCTGCGCTACTGAGGTTTTACATGGTTTCCCTCAGTACACGCCACATGGGCGCAGTACAGAAAGTCGGCCCATGCTACCGCAAAAATAATGAGAGGATAGTAGGAGAGGCTAATGAGAGGATAGTAGGAGAGGCTAAAGGCTAAGACGAAGGGGCGCCTATCCAACCATGGTAACAATGGTAATAGGAAAAGGAAAAATGTAAAAAAAAAAAAAGTATATATATTTTCTAGCGAGATCGTAAAAGTAATTCATTTTTTCGATTCTCATTTTCCACGGGCCGGTGGGAGCTGGATCAGGGGGATTGGGGGCGCCATTTGGTGATTTGATGAGGGGACTGGGGGGTGGGGGGATGCGACCCATATTGAGAAACGCGGGTGAGACCCCAAGGGAAGAATGGATCGATGTATTCAGGTCAAACGCTAACTCCGGGAGGTGCTGGTCCCAATCGCGATGATTGTCGCCAGCGTAAATACCTATCATGGGTTTGAGTGAGTGATTAATTCTCTCGACGGGGTTGGATTGGGGGTGATAGGGAGGGGTGGTGATGTGGGTAATACCTAATTGGGCTGGGGGTTTCGCGAGTTCTTTTCCTACGAATTCAGTTCCGTTATCGGTGAGGAAAAACTGCGGTTTTCCCCAGCGTAAAATCACTGTCTCATACAATACTTTCCAGATGTTCTTGGCGTTGGCCTTCCGAAGGGGTTTAATCTCGATGTACCGGGTGAACACATCTTCTAACACGAGGAGGTAACGGTATTGATTCCTGCTAGGAGGGAATGGGCCCATAATGTCGCCCGCGACGGTGGGCCAGGGCTCGGAGGTCGTTCGCTCGCGCATCAACCCTTTGGGACTGGTTTGAATTGACTTATACCGCTGGCATTGTGGACAAGACCTGACAAATTTAGCCACATCGCGATAGATTCCGGGCCAATAAAAATATAGGGCGACGCGGTGATAAGTCTTGTCGATTCCACCATGGGCTGCGTAAGGGCTGTCGTGGGCGTCACGTATCGTCTCGTGTCTCAGTCCCGGGGGTAGAACGGTTTTCCAACGGTTTAGGTCAGGGTTTAGGGGCAAGGGCGAAGGAAGTATAAAACATCATCTTCTACGGTCCAGTCAGGGTATTTGTGGGGGTTGTTAAGTACGTCCAGTTTTTTCTTTTGGTACCATCTGTCCGGGGAGGAAGTAATTAACGCGAGGGCTGTGAGGGCATTGGGGCAAACACGGGAAAGGGCGTCGGGGACGGTGTGGAGGGAACCTTTCCGGTGAACGATGGTCATGTCGTGGTTCTGTAATTCTAATGCCCATCGGGCCACTCGACTGGTGGGATTTTTAAAATTTAACAACCATTTTAAACTTGAGTGCTCTGTTATCACAGTAAATTTCCCCCCTTCGATGTAGGGGCGAAAATTACGCGTGGCCCAGAAGACTGCTAAGCATTCTCTCTCGGTCATAGTGTAGTTACGTTCGGCGGGGGTGAGGACTGTACTAGCATAATAAATGGGTCTGTCCAGTCCAGTCGACGAGTTTGGGTGGGCAGGATCGGATCCAAACTCCGATTCCTGTGTCAACACCGCTCCTATCGCCATGTCACTTGCGTCCGTCTGAAGGGTGATGGGTTTGGAAAAATCGGGGCGGGCTAGGACGGGGGTAGTCGTGAGGGAGGTTTTTAATTTATCGGATGCGGTCTGGTGTTCGTCCGTCCAGGTCCACGTTACATTTTTTCGTATCAATCCGAGCAAGGGGATTTTGTCATCGGAGAGGGAAGGCAAAAATCGAGAATGCCACCCAACCATACCGAGAAATCTCTGCAACTCCTTTACATTCCAAGGGGGTGGTTAATCGGTAATAGGGGCAACTTTATTTGGGTCTGCTTCTAATCCATCGGGGGTCAACAAATATCCAAGAAATTCTAATCGATCGCATAAGAAGTCACATTTGTCTACGTTAATTGTCAGGTTATTTTCTTGTAATTTTTTGATTAACTGGGCCACAAACCATTTCTGTTCTTCTAGGGTGCGGGTAAAAATCAAAAAATCATCAGCGTATTTCCGTATGTTGTTCGACCATTGGGTGGGAATAATCATGTCTGTCAGTAATTGAAACATTGCGGGGCCGTTTTTCAGTCCGAAGGGCATCCGTCTATATTGAAAGAGTCCGGGGGGAAGTTCAAGGATGGCGAAAGCAGTCTTTTCTTTACTGTCATCGTCAAGAGGAATGTGGTGGAACGCCTGACTTACGTCGATTTTTGAGACGTATACCGCGCCGTGGGCGCAATCAAGTAAATCTTCCAAACTCTGCATAGGGAGGGCGAGGTGTTTTGTCACGACATTAAGGGGGCGGTAATCTATGCATAACCGGTAACTATTGTCGGGTTTTTTAACCAACACTGGCCAGCTACACCAATCGCTCTGAGAGGGTTCGATGATTCCTTGTTTTAATAATTGGGCGGCTTTTTCTTGGGCGGCCTTTAAAATGTGGGGGGCATATCGACGCGTCGCGCCACGGATAGGGGAATGATCTTGGGTGTCTATGTGCATCGTGAGTCAGGGGCAAACGGAGGCAATTTCGGGAGCGGGATTTATCCAACTCTTGAATTCTTCGCGGAGGGTTTTTAATTGGTCTTCGGGGACGACTGCTAATTGTGCTAAATCACAAGGGGGAGGATTGGCTAAATTAAGGGGTTGCCGTGGGAGGCCTTCACCGTCTGAAGCATACCATACACTAATGGGTTGTGCCGTGAGCTCGAGGGGGTGACTATCGGGGGTGTGCGTGTCGCTACATTCGAGGGTAAATTCTAACGCGTTGAGAGCATCCATTCCTAGAATACAATCGAAAGCAAGGGCGTTTGATAGTCTGAAGGGGATGAGTAGGGCTCGGTCGGAATAGGCTAGTCTCATGATAGCACAGCCGGCTAGTGGGACTGTTTCGCCGTTTCCGAGGATAACTTCTTCTCCGGTGGCGATGGCGTATTTGTCAAGGTCCACGCCAGCGTTGGTACTAATAAATGATCGATTCGCCCCCGAGTCGATCAGGGTGCGGAGCGAACGTTTTCCTAATTTTATTTCAACGAATTTACGGTTCTCCAGGGGTTGATCAAATGTAAGGGTGAGGAAGTCTTCATAATCGATGTAATCGGGGTTGGTTGGGTCATTTAGAGTAATAGTAAACAGTTTGGGGTTATCGTCAGGGACGGGGTCGGTCCCGGGGGAAGAAGGGACAGGGGTTTCAGGGATAGTTGGGGGTTGTTCGGTAGGGTTGGGGTCTGTTGAGAGGGTTTCTTGAGTACAGGGGCTATCCTGGGGGATACAGGGTGTGAGGGCTGGAGAAAGACTTCGGTGTGGGGTAGGTGATGATACTGGGGGTTGTGAGTTCGTGGGAGGAGTAAGCTCAGGGGTAGGTGATATGGCGGTCTGGGGTGGTTGGAGGAGTATACGGGAAATGGGTTCAGGACAGGGTGCGTTTAAGGGTCTGGGAGTGGGTCGGATGGAAGTTCTCTGAGGGACAGGTCGGGTACGGTAACACGGGCGTATGGTTAGTCGATAATCCCGCCGGGGTGGTGTGGGTTTAACACCCCCGCCTCTTAGTTTCCCTGGATTTGATATGTTCCATATGATGGTCAGGTGTAGGACTGCGTAGGACGAGAGTTAGGGTAATATCGGGGAGGTTGGGTCTGTTGAGGTGTATTGGGGGGTGCTTGGGGAGAAAAGGCTTGTTGGGCGTAGGGGGCGTTCGCGTGCGAAATGACCAGCTTGGTGGCAACGGAAACAGTGGAGGTATTTTGGGTATGGGGGTGGTTTTGAGTTTATGGGTGGTGGGTTCGTAGGAATACTCATAAGGGGTGGGATATGGCGCGGGGAGGGTGAAGTGGGACGGGGAGAGGTTCGTCCCGGTACGTCGGCGTATGTTGGTTGTCTTGGGGGTGAATTGGGTCTGGTGTTACTGTTAATTTGTCTGGGGGATGCGTTGTGTCGGGGTTGATAGTTGACATCTGGTGGAGGGAGATAGGGATTTCTGGAGTACTGTTCTAAGGGGACGTTGTCGGCACGAAGGGGTTGAGCGCCGAGGGCATGATTCTGCGGGGTGTCAGTATCGGGAGAATGGCGATCTCTGGGGTTGGTACAACGAGGGGCTGGTGCAGGGGTATGGATTGCTGAGGGATGTCTATACCGAGACGTGTCTGAAAGGGTTCTCTGGATTAACCTCGCGACCTCAATGAATTGTTTCATAGTCGTACATCGATCGCGACCCATCTCTTTGAAGTAAACCGGATTTAATTGCAATTTCAGAATGCCTCATTGTCTCTGTAAGGGGGGAGGGGGATTGAGACTCGAGAACAGTCTACGAAGACTGGTGATTTAATCGCCTACATCTTCATCTACGCCCTGAAACCGTTGATGAATATCCTGCCAGATACTCTCCTCTTGATCGAGAGGACAGTACATCAACTGAAACGCTCGCAAGAAATCATCATAACTCCTGATATTTGGCAGTTCTGTCAAATACCAGGAGTGGGCATTATTTTTAAACGCTGAGGGGAGAGCCCGCAGTGTTTCCGTCTCAGTTAATCCGTTGGATTTACAGCA